TGTGCATCTGAAGAAACTATCCAGAAGCAGCCTTTTCATTGGCTAGAGCTGGAAAATCAGGTAAAGTAGCTGCTTTCAAAAGCATCTCTGCATTTAGAAATCAGCAGAGATAACTAGCTATCAGCTAATGACTAACTTTAAGTTCTAAGGTCATATGACAACCAACATTTACTTGAACCAGAAGAGTTGACTTGACAACAGACCTGATTATCATCTGGTGAATCCTGCCGTTCTTCATCCCTGAGCTCTCCTTCCATCTCCTCATCACCTTCCACCTGAAACACACCAAGGGCCATAGTTTGACTTACATTTATTAAACACACGCAGACAACAAAACAACTGATAATGTCGTGCCAAGCTTTTGATGTTTTACAGATGTATTCTTGACACAACAGATTAAAATGACTCCTGCTGCAGATATCGAATAGGAAGCTCTGGACTTTTCTTTGTGACATCAGTTAAAATTCCCAGACTTTTATCAGTTTGCAAAACTCAAGTGGCCTGACACAGGTCTGTCTTTAATCAGCATTTCTGCATTCACACAACCTAAGATAGCCTAGAACTAACAGGTTAAGAATGACAGCACTTCTATTTCTAGTTTCTGGGTTTTTGTGTTTACCTGCATTGCTGCTGTTGCTTTGAGGCGTAGCTTTTTGATGGTTGGAGGTGTGTGTGAGCTCTCGGGTCTGCTTTCTTCTTCCTCCTCATCATCATCTCTGCTTCGCTTTGAAGATGCTTTAGTGGCATCACAAAAACACACCAGGACCTCAGTTAAGAATCTGGCCATCAACATTTTCAGTACTATAGTTTGTTTCTTTACTGTTGAGGTGTTTTGTGAGTAAAGTTTCAGGCTTCTCTTTCTGACCTGTTACACTCAGAGAGGAGGGGGATGAGGATGTAGATGGCCGCTCTGCCTCCACGCTGGGCCCTGCATCCTGACTGGCTGCCTGCTGCTGAGTGGGCTGAACAAACGCTGTGGCCTGAGTGCTGCTTGGCTGAGATATGGAGGTGGGTGCATTCACCATACTGGAGCTGGTAGAGTGCACAGAGGCTGATGTATTCATCAGCACTGCTAGGAGAAACACATTTCACTTTGACATATACTGACACATACTGCTTCAAAATCTCAAAGCGCATCTCCAACAGAGATCTACTTTTATTTCAGTTGTCTTCTTCTAGAAGAAAATTGTTGAATGGATGGCCTTCTTGTTCTTACCCTCTTGGCTTTCAGTCTGTGTGGTCGGCATTACTGTGGCCATAGGTGTTGGGACAGGGACAGTTGCCAGGGTAACCAAAGGACGGATGCTGGCTCGAGGCGTGGCCTTGCTGCCAGGAGAGGGACTTGGCTTGTTGCTAGGAGATGGAGTACTTGGGGTGGGTCGGATGTTGGCAGTGGGAGGCTCAGACAGAGTGGAACTGATGGAGAAAAGCGATT